CAGCGATGACAATGATGATATTGATAATGATAATGATAATAATGATGATAATGATAATGATGATAATGATGATGATGATTATTATGCTGTTGCTGGTGCTGGTGCCGGCTGGCGTTATAATTATGCAGCTGCAGGCTAATGACCAAGTCGAAAGTGCGCTCAAACAAGCTGATTGACTACCAGACACCCTGTAATGAGAATAAATAACAGGATGTAAAGTCTATACATATGCCAAAATTGAACAAGTGTGCTTTTGGGCGTAAATGCGCGACTAAGAGATACGCTGTAAACAGCTAAGCGCAAATTTTCGATAGATTCTAAACATACAAACTTCTTCACAGGAAGTCTTTCTTGAATATCTTTCGCTTGTATTATCCGATAGATATGAAATTGTGTACATACATACCAATAAATATGCTGTGCATGCTAAGCGAATATGATACATTTGGTGTCTCCAGTGTTTGTTAATCGATAATTATCGATTTCTTGCACAATACCTTAAATATGCTCTGCATGATAAAAGAATTTGCCACATTTGGTGTCTCCACATTTTAATATATTGGAGAGTGGCAAAAAATCTAGAGCTAGATCGATAAATATCGGTTTAAAGAATATAAGTTTATCGAAATACTGAATAATCTTGCCAAACTTAACATCTTTAGTAATGTTTGTGATGAAAGGTTTCGGACAGACAAACATATGTCTAGATTGTTAGTGCGTGTCCAGAATATATTAACACTTTGAAGGCTTATAGATGCCTTCTTCTGCCCGTCTTATACATATGAGAAAGCTTTTTTATACGACTTTTCAGATCACAATGTTTCTCCCAGCTGTGGAAATATTCAAAAGCTCCAACAAAATATAGCTCGCTTTTATTGTAAAGCAAAGGCATACCAAATTTGCTAGCACTGTCCAAGCTGCAACTGAAATCCTCCTCTTAGCCCGCCCAATTATTGCAGGGTATACATAATCATAAGGCTGCTGCTGCTGCTGTTGCTGTTGCTGCCTGTGGAGCATGGCATTTTGTGGGGGCTACTCTTAAGCTGGCTCTGCGATGATGATGATGGGTCCCGGTGTGATCCATTTTGAGCATGACCAAGCTAATCTCTTGGCCCGAGTATTGTCAACAGCTTTGTGGGGGCTGATTGTGCCCGAGCTCAACTTGAGCTATGGCCAGGCCTTCCAAGATAGGCAACATTGTCGTCTGTCGACATCTTCCACTGGACATTTTCCAATCTGGAGCGTTGCAGTTGCTGTTGTTGTCGCATTTGTTGTTGTTGTTGTTGTTGTTGCTGTTATGTGTCGCTGTCTGTTTGTCTGCCTGACTGCGTTTTTCGCGGTTTTACAACTTTGATTTCACTTTTCTTTGCAACATGCGACTTTGCTGCTGCTGCTGCTGTTGTTGTTGTTGTTGTTGTACCTTCACTGGCCGTTTTTTGAACTGTTTGCTTCATTGCTCTCGTTGTCGTCGTCGTCGCCGCTGTCGGTCCGCTTAAACTTTGTTACTCTTTAATTGGTTTTTTTTTTTGCTGCCCGCTCCCCATCATCATCTTCTTTAGGCATCCGTTTTTTTTTTTTCTTTTAATGATGATGCAGTGGCCGAGCGTTGGCCATAATTGTCAACCACTTTTGCACGTTAGCCACAAATTATAAACACATGGATATGCAATTCCATTTGAAGGAGTTTCTTGCAAGTGTTCGCTTGCTGCTGTGCAAATTGAAAATTGTAGGGAAATTGTGTGCAAAATGCGCCCAGTTAATGGTTTGTCTTATTTAGAGCTGGTTTCTGTTTGAGTCCTGATAATAACTTTACACAATACATTAATAGTTAACTATTACTATTATCAGCTATAACTATATACTATTAACTATATACTATTAACACAGAGGGAAAGTTTAGATAACGGAAGGAAACGTCTTCAGCCATATATAAAAAATATAAATAGATCTAGTCATGTTCATCTGCGTGATCCTATTGCTCTCGGATACTCGGATATATACCTAAAGACTTCGCATTTTAAAAATCTATATTCCAACCTCGCAAATTTAGTCTAGAGACTTGGAGTTTGAAATATATTTATTCCAATGTTATAAATGCTGAAAGAGCTTATCAGAACTTTTTATATTTATCTGATATCTTTTCCCATATCGATAAGTATCGATTATTGGACATAGTTTTTCAAGCTAGAAAGTTAAAAGAGCTAGAAAACCCAAATCTGTTCTTTCCAAAATGTCTTACTTTAAAGTTAAAGCCTTTTTTTTGGCATAAGCAAAAATATATAATTGGGAATTTTGTGCCCAGATATTTCTACCAAGAACTCCCAACAGAATAAATTTTCCATATATAATCCCCTTTTATCTTTCTCTTTGCTCAAATTTTAGGCAACCCTGAGACACTCCCAAAGTCCACCCCATACGAAAAATAGCTTAACTTAATTGCTGAACTGAATGAGCCCAAGTTAAGCTCAGCCTATGAGCGTACTTTTAGCTCTAATAACTTAATTATAGATGAGCACAGCTCAGCTGAGGCGACCAATCAAATGAGAGCTGTTCGCACTCAAGATCAGCCAGTTGAACTGCTCGAATTCGTCACAAGTCGAGGGGCTGGCAGAGTGATGCTAGATGCTACACAAAAATATGAGTCAAGTTCAGATCGGAATGCTGCCACTAAGTATCTGGCAAGTATCTGGCAAGTGTCTGGCTTAGTTTTCAGATCGAATGCGATCTCTTTAGGCTTATGTCATCAGCGAAGCGGCCAACGCAAAAGTTCTCAAGCTCCAAATAGTTTTTCATGAAATCTTTTGGTCGAAATAATTCAAGTCTTACAAATGGCTGAAAGCAGTAAATCAAAGCAGCAAATGCGGCTAATTAACTTTTAGGCCAAAGCAGCAACAAAAGGCAATTTGATGTGCGAGTGTGCGCCTGTGTGTGTGCGCCTATGTGTGCGTGTGTGTGCCTGTGTGCGATGTGTGTCTTAATGTCGCTAAATGCTGCACCAGCCCACGGAAAATGTCTCGTGAAAAATTCTGTTCTAGATAGCAGCAAACAGTTGCAGCTTCATTGAACGCCTACAGTCGTAGTTGCTATACCCTGTAATAGTTAACAAGAAGGGTGTACTCGCTTTGTGCAAGAGCATGTTACGGGCAGAAGGAGACAGCTCAGACTCAGACAAAAGGCAGTTAAATTTATGATCAAAATCAAATAGCTAGCCATCTCGATGTTAGATATATATCAAATTATCGATAACTTTCCGATAGATTTATAACAACGTAAATCGATATACATATATATGACTGTTTATTCCTACTGACTGATTGTTGAGTCCAACCGTGAGAACTAGAAAGTTGATCTGTAATTACCTTATAAAGGATTTCGAATCGGCTTTAAACTCATTTCACTTCAATTCACTTAGGAGAAATCACATTTATCGGAAAATCCACCGCTTTTTGGGGAATTCAAAATAAAAAGATTTGGTAGGGCTTAAAGCTCGGTTCACAATAAGAAAAAGAAATAAAATGGAATTTTAGGGTCGATGTTTTCCGGCTACTTGAAGCTGCTTACAGGGTATTTGCCGGTCGTGCACTCTGACCTGTTGTAGTTGCAGTTGGCGTTGCAGTTGAGTCTGCCGACTGTCAGCGGCTTTGTTTTGGCTGCTGCCATTTGGTTCACATGACTTGCGTGCCATCTGCCTGGAGGCCAAAAATCCGCCAAGAGCCAAGAGTCAAGAGTCAGCTTCCAACTGGCAACTGGCAAACGGGCAAACTCTTGGCTAAGCTGCAGCCTACGCAGCTGCCTTGCACGCACCTTTAAGTGGCGACCTCCATGAGGGCAGCTCCCCTGCCCCCTCCCTGCCCCCTCTACTTCCCCTTCAGTGATAATGTGTACTTAGATGTTAGTCGGAGTGTGTTTTGTGTCTGTTTGTCTTACATAATCGTCACTCTAGATACCGTTAGCATTCGTCTAGTTTTCTGTTTCTTTCCGTTCCAAAACAACAAACAATAGAACAATTGTTTAAACTTTTGTAGCGCGGCGGCTTTTGGCATTGCGCCAAAAAAAACAAGAATAAAACATCGAAAAATTTAAAGTGGAAACAGAAAAAAAATAAAAGAATAAAAAGAATAAAACAGCAACTGAATTAAAATGTCGTCTGGAAATTGAGTTCTCTTTAGGACGGCAATTTTGTACTTTTGGCCACATAAAAGCATTTTTCACCTCTTCCTCTTCTTCTCGTTGTTGTTGTTGTTGTTGTTGTTGGTTTACATGACGTAGATGGGAATTACCGCGAGCTACCGAAAACTGGCACAGCTGTGGGAATTAAGCTGTGACGCACCTGAAACTATGATATGTGCAGGTACAAAGGAAACAGAGCATTTTGTGTAGAGAATTAATAATAATAATTTGATGAGCAAAAGTCTATTTTAAAAGCATTTGTTAAACTTGGCCTAAAGCAAATAAGCGCATGTCTAGTCTGCGGGCCGCATTCATATCCATTTATTGATTTGGCCAACAGTATAAACATTTTTTAGTTGGGAATCTGTTATTTAATCAGCTTTAAATGAATGAGTCTAACACTTTTGGCGCGTTAGCTCCGCCCATTTTCTTGACATCGATATATATCGATTTTGAGAAATGGTTATTTAAGCACAACTCAAGAAATATAGGAGCTGATTAAATTAAGTTCGGTATGCAGTTTTTCTTATGGTATATACAAATTTCGAATATTTCACAATTTGAATTATTCAACCCCTTTCCCATTTCAAATTGAAGAAAAGTAATTTTCCAAGCTGGAACCTTGCGCCTTGGTATATAAACACTTCTGTGTGTTATATTTATGCCCTGTAAATCGCATAAAGATCGAAGATTCAACAGAACATTATGTGCTAAAACGAAATTCAAATATTTTTAAGATCGAAATATACTAGAGCAATAAATCTCACAATAAGAAACCTTTAAAACCTTTCCCTCTTCTTTTCTTGCAGGTTTGTAAATTCAGCCTTTGACAATTTCTTAACTCGAGGCCAGCAAAAATAATTGAAATCAAGAGAGAAAATAACAAAAAAAGAGAAAGAACAAGAACAAGATCATCAGCTGATCAGTTAACAGTTATGAGAGAGAAAGACCACTCACCAAGAAAGATGCTTCCTAGCCCAAAACAGGGCTGTGTTTACCCTGCCTTAGGATTAATACCCACATCGTATATATCACATGTACCTTATGATCTGTCCGCCTCGACGACGGCGGCCACAGCCACCAGCAGCATGACGCGACATCAGCAACAACAACAACAACAGCAGCAGCAACAACAACAACAACAACAATTGCAACAACAACTGCAGCAGCAATCGCAGCCTGGAAACAAGTCGAAGCGACGCAGCAGCTATGATCAGCCGCTGGACCTGCGGCTGGCGCACAAGCGCCGGCAGGCCGGCAAGCTGGAGGAGCTGGAGGAGGAGACGCCAACAACGCCGCTGGAGGATGAGAACAGCAACTTGATCCTGTTCGCCAATGAGCTGGCCGCCCAGCGCAAGGAGAAGGAGCTGAACAATAATCATATCGCCGCCTCGCTGGCGGATCTCGGCTTCGATATGAGCCGCAAGATGTTGCGCGCCCTGCGCGAGGGCGTGGCCAGCACGCCGGCGGCGCCCATGGTGGCCGGGGGCGTGCCGTCGACGCTGCTGGAGGCGATGACCAAGACGCTGCCGCTGCAATATCGCAATGTGTTTGCGCCGCCGCCGCCGTCGACGACAGGAACGGGCGCGGGCGGAGGCGGGGGCGGGGGCACGCCGTCGGAGTTTGCCTTTCGCCATCCGCTCAAGCAGAGCGAGCTGAGCTGGGCGAGTAGCAACGAGCGGGAGCGGGAACGGGAGCGGGAGCAGCTGAAGCTGGAGCTGGCTGGCAGCACAGTCCAGCCCCAGCCCACGGCCACGCCCACGCCGCATCCGCAGCTGCAGGAGTTCCAGTCGCGGCAGCACTCGCGCAAGGCCAAGCAGCGGCTGGCCCAGAACCAAACCCAACCCCAGAACCAATCCCAATCGCAGTCGCTGCCCGTGCAGCAGCAGCAGCAGCAGCAGCGGAACAAGGATCGCTACACGTGCAAGTTCTGCGGCAAGGTGTTTCCGCGCTCGGCCAATCTCACGCGGCATCTGCGCACGCACACGGGGGAGCAGCCGTACAAGTGCAAATACTGTGAACGTTCCTTTAGCATCTCGTCGAATCTGCAGCGGCACGTCCGGAACATACACAACAAGGAGCGGCCGTTCAAGTGCGAGATATGCGAGCGCTGCTTTGGCCAGCAGACGAACCTGGACAGGCATCTCAAGAAGCACGAATCGGACGCGGTGTCGCTGAGCGCGCTGAGCGGTGTCAGCGAGCGGATGCACTGCATCCGGCGCTTCTGCGAGAATCCCAGCGAGGAGTCCTACTTCGAGGAGATACGCACTTTCATGGGCAAGGTCACGCAGCAGCAGCAGCAGCAGCAACAGCAGCAGCAGCAGCTGCAGCAGCAGCCACAGTCACTGCCATTGGCAACGTCGCGCAGCTCCGCCTCGTCCAGCTGCTCCGCCTCGCACACGCCCACATCCTCGCATACGCCCACGCAATCGGAGTCGGCGGAAACGCTGGCGCAGGAGCTGCGCCGGCTGCAGGCGGAGCGCGCCAAAAGGGACGAAGACAGCGGCGACGAGGCGCAGCCCGAGCGAGCGGAGCAGCCGGAACAGCAGCAGCAGGAGCAGCAGCGGCTGGAGACGGCGGCGGAGGCGGAGCAGTCCAAGTGCATAATGCAGCTCAAGAAAACGCTCGCCTCCAAACTATTTCCCACAACAACAACAGCAGCAGGGGCAACCACAGGGGCAGCAGACACGCCCAAGGTCAAGCAGGAGCCCTGAAGCTGGGCCTGATCCGATTCCGATCCCAATCCTGAAACCAGATGAAAGAGAAAATGAAAAACAATTTCCTATATGGTAGAATCGAGCAGCAAAACGAAACACAAAACACACAAACTATTTGCAAATCGTATATACTATATACATTTATAATTCATGTTTAGCTGTAAATATATATATACATACACACATATATATACATATATTTTATATTTTGTATTTTCTAATTTTAATGTGTATATCGAATTGTACAAAAACAGAAGATTGGCAAATGTACTATATCAATTTATGTGCGTAGTTATTTAAGCATTGGTAATTTTTTTGTATATATACAAAGCGACACGAGACACACGAGACAAAACAAGCGACCACTGTTTAATAAAAAGTTACAAGTTTTTTGAAATTTACTAAAAAACATTGTTTTTTTAAAAAACATATTCCCGCGCCACCTATTGAACGGTAGAAAACTGAGAGGAACGGCATTGGGGCGACATCTAGCGGGCTTGCTAACGACCTGCCTTGCAAGCGTTCAAAATGCCCGCCTCATGTCAGGCAAGTCGACGCGCAGCCAACATCACGCTGTGCGTTTTAAGCGCTCACTTGAAGTTGGCTGCGATTATGCTAATTTATCGATTTGCCTGTTTAAATGGCAACATTTGTATTATTTTATAATTTGTGGGTTGTTATTAATTATAAAAGAGCGTAATAAAAGCTTTATATTTTTACAAAACTGTTACGGCGCTGTTACTATTTGTGTTTTTACTTAATGCTGTCTGTTCTGTTTTCAGACAATCATTGCCCGTAAACAGTAATTTAAACAGTTCAACTAGAAGAATTTTACCAAAATGCGATATATGATTTGACTCTGGTAACTATTTAGCATATTTGAACTGCAAATGTTGTACTCACTATTAATAACATTTAAGTGCACTGTTAAGTTAACAGACGATCTGCAGTTTTTATGTTAAACGGAAACGGCGACCGGCAGAAGTTATCTCTCTTTATAAAACCAGCTAACTTACCCTGCCCTGCCCACTTTCCATTGTTCAACGGCAGCGGCGACGAGCAGAAGTTATCTCTAGTTTTATTCCACCAATTTGGTCCGCTCTTCCTTTTTATCATTATTCAACAAAACGTGAGCAGTTTATGTTACCTTATCTTTATAAACATTTACTTTACCTGTTTGAGATTGCTGCTTCAGATGGCAACCGGGTTGACAACAATCACGGACCTGGCGGAGCTGCGCGCCCTGCAGGAGCTTCACCTGGCAGACTGGCCCAAACACTGTGTGGCCTACTTCTGGTTGGACAACTATTTGCGTTGGCTGGAAAAAGATCCTTTGACCAAGTATTTAACATTCTACACGCTCAATGGAGATTGGCGTCGCGATGGACTCTTCATCCTGGTGGTTTGTATATGATCTATATCCAATATATCCATAACTAATGTCCTGACCTCCTCTAGCATCGCTACCAATTGTTCTTCAGCAATCTGAGCCGGCGAAAGACACCGGAACTGCTTTCAGCTCTGACCCTGTTGGATTGGTCTAATGGCTACAAGGTGAGCGCCATACACGAGACGCATCATCGCATCTACAAGCAGCTGCTGGCGGAGCATCGGCTGGTCATGGATCGGGAGATGAAGACCATTATGTATCGTCTGCCCTGCGAGCAGGCCAAAGCGCTGCAGCTGAGCTGCCCGCCGGGCTACCATCTGGACGATGTGCGGCTGGAGCATGCAGGGCTCATCAACGGGCTCTGGTCAGCACGCCATCCAGGCTCGCTGAAGCTCATAGAGATGCTGATCGAAAAGAATGTCAATGTGGGACTGTATGAAGAGGCGACAGGCCAGCTATGTGCCTGGTGCCTGAGGTAGGTCATCTATGATGAATATCTGGCCGTGTATTAAGTTCATTCCCTTTGACAGACTGCAAAGCGGCTTCCTGGGCGCACTCGAGGTACTCGAGACGCACCAGCGCCGCGGACTGGGCCTAGTAGTAGCCGCCGCCATAGCCAAGCGCATAGCCAACGGACTGGAACACGACGTCACAGCTTTGGTTAATCTGAACAATAAAGCCGCCTGTAAAGTGTTTGATAAATTGGAATTTACGCTGCTCGGAGGCGAGCATTACGTCTGGAGCATGTGTCTGGCCAAAACAGGGGGAGTATTAAATTGGCCAGCGAATACGTAGCAGACTGAATTCGAGTTATGTGATATCTAACGCCATATAGCGTTAAGCTTAGGCAGATTAAGTATTATCTTACCCAGCCAAGCGCTATATAAAACCGAACATTCGAAAATATTCCATACTGTCGCAAGGTTTCCGTTGAGCGAGCAACTGACTCAGAGATGCAGCTTCAGACTGTGGATATACAAGGCCTGCGGCAGCTACTGGCTCTGTACAGGCGCGAGTGGCCGAAATACTGTCAGGAATTCGCAATCCTAAAGAATCTCATCGCATTTGCCAAAGTTGAGCCTGGCATGAAGCATGTAAAGGCGTACAGCCTGCAGGATCCACAGGCTCAGCGGCTGGGCCTCTTTCTGATTGTGGTATTTATGAGCTGTGCGTTTTGCTGGAATGCAGCATTCATCCTTGTGCCTTTCTAGGATCGCTATCAATTGCTTGTCGGCTGCCTGGGAGAATCGTTGGATTTACTGGCGCAGGCGCTGCATCTGCTGGACTGGTCCAGGGGCATGCTGTGCACCTCCGTGCCGGAGCGTTATATTGAGACTGTGTTGCAAGTGCTGCTGGAGGAGCAACTAGTTATCGAATTTCATCATTTGAGCGATCTATATCACATGCCAGCCAAGCAGGCACTGCACTTGCACGTGGAGTAGGTTATCAAGTGCCAGACTTAATTCGAGAATTCCATCTAAAACGTCTCATTCAACAGCTGTCCGAAGGGCTTTCAGCTGAAGTCCTTAAGTGAACAGGATGCGCACCTCGTAGATCAGGAATGGCCCTACAGTCATGAGGGTTCCCTGTTCTTTATACAGCGCCAGATACGCTTGTGTCCCAGCATGGGCTTGTACGATGACGACACACAGCAGCTGGTGGGCTGGTGCATCAGGTATATTAACTAGATTCTCTTGATGATCAATTCCTAATTGAACCAACCTTTTCTTACAGAACACAAGATGGTCTCCTGGCCGCTTTGCATGTCCAGAACGCATACAAGCGACGCGGCTTTGGCAGCCTCATAGTCCAGGCTCTGGCCCGACGCATTGCGGCCTTGGGAGACGATGTTACCGCCGAGATTTACGCCGAAAATATACCTTCTGTGAATATGTTTAATAATCTGGGCTTTCAAGTAATCGATCGGTGCCATTGGCTCAACATTGCGCCTACCACGGGCAGCTTCACCTGGCCAGAGGGTGAATAGGTCGTGCAGCGATATTTAAGGGCTATGAAAGACTAAATTTAGTTTGTATTAAATAGAGCTATTTTAAGCGCGTATAAGGAACAGAATGGATGCCATTTTGGTTTTTAATATTGTGCCTTTAGACGTCTCCGATCCCATGTATATTCCTGATCAGCCAGAAATTGTTGTCCCACAATATTAAGAGCAGCCCTCGCAAACGAAACGCTGAGTTTAGATTGAAGAGAGCAGAGTTAGAGATAAGTCTAATTGTTCAAGAACAAAGCAAATGTAGTCTCTCTCCCTCGCAATGCTATTTAACGCACATGTTTCGTATAATTCTCTTTAGTTTGTCGGGTTCGCTTGCGAGGAGACGTCATTTGGGGGCCCATAAAATGCCACTCGAATTGGAACCGGTTAACCTTCAGCAGCTGCAAAGCTTCCAAACGCTTTACATCCAACAATGGCCCAAATATTGCGCCGAATTCTACTGTCTAGATAATTTTATACGTTTTTTTAAGAAAGATCCACAAATTCGAAATATTCAGGCCTACACGCTGTCCGAGCAGAAGGCCAAAGATGCGGCGCTTTTTGTGATTGTGGTTAGTCACGATAGTTAAGAGTTGGACTAGTTTAACACATTATTTATAATACTTAGGATCGTTATCAGCTGTTCGTGGGCTGTTTGGTAAATGCCAAAGAGCTGCTGCAGCGGGCGCTGGGCTTGCTCGACTGGTCGACTGGACTCAAATGCAGTTCCATACCAGCGCGGCATATTGAGGCGGTCGACTGCGTGGTCCGGGCGAAACAGCTGCGCTTGGAGTATCGCGACACATGCAACTTGTACTATATGCCACAAAAAGAGGCGTCTAAGCTTAAAGTTGAGTAAGTTTTGCATCGAGCCTTAAAGCTGCCGAATTCGTATAGCTAATTTATATAGATTTGCTTAGCATACCGGATGGCTTCTATGTGCAGAGCCTCAGTGAAAAGGATGCAGACCTGGTCAACGAGGAGTGGCCCAATCACCATGTGGGCTCCTTGTACTTCGTGCAGCGACAAATACGCCTGTGCGTAAATGTTGGATTATATGCAACAGATACTCGGGAACTGGTGGCCTGGTGCATCAGGTGAGCAACTAAAATAATATTAAAGAAGAAAACATAAGTTGATATTAGTATAAGAGCAGGAAGTAATCAGAGAAATAAAATGGGGGAGAAAGATCGCTAGACGTTAGATTAGATTGAAAGTATAAGCGTAGATAAAGATTTAGATTGCTAAAACAACTAGTTAAGAAAATGCTTATCAAATCTTGAAAACCTTTAAGACTTAGTTCAATTTATGAGATTCGCATAGAAAGGCTAACTTTTTTAAATCAAATTATCCTGCGTTTTGTATAAAAGAACTCTTGGGTTCTTAGAACTCTTCCTCAATGCGTTATATAACATAACCAGAGCACCTTCCACGAGGCTTAAATTAGATAATATTGAAATATCTTCACTTACAGGCTACAAGGCGGCTTTCTGGGCGCACTGCAGGTGAGGAGCACGCACAAGCGTCGCGGGTTTGGCAGCTTGGTGGCCAAGGAGATGGCCAGACACATTGCCGTCATGGGGCAGGATGTGATGGCACTTGTTAATCCAGGGAATCAAGCGTCCAACGGCATGTTCGATAAGCTGGGCTTTAAAGTAATCGATCAATGTGTTTGGCTGAGAACTGAGCCCGTGGCAGGCGAGTTTACGTAGCCGGACGGGCAGTAAATGCCCCTGCCCGCGCCCGGGCTCTAGCTTTATGTATAATACATTACATTCATTATAAATATAATAAAATACTACGACTATTGTATATGAATACAACTTTGGTATAAAAATATGCCGAGGCCTGCTCATACGTCCGACTGGGACTGGGACTGCGACTGCGACTGCAGCTGCTGCCACAGACGTTCGCAGCGTTCGTGCAGCTGCGCCGGACTCTGACGCACACTCGGCTCCTGCAGCATGTCCTGGAGCAGTTGGCGTACGCACTCGAGATCGTATTGCACATGGTAGGCGTTCATTTGATATCTGTCAAAAAGTAATTGGCTGTTGTTGGTTGTTGTCTGGGTTTGGTCTGGCTTGGGCACCAATCGGGCGTCCAATCGGCGGGCGGCTATGAACTCCAGAAGCTCTATAAAATCGAGGTAGTTAATGCCAAAGCTGGCGCGCAACATCGTTTGGCAGTGCGCCTCAAAGTTGTCCATCTGCTGGCAGTCGGAGATCTCTCGGTGCACGGCCTGCATATTGTCGAGCAGATTGCGCCACACGAGCGGCACGTTGCAGGCATTGAACCAGTTGTGATTGACGGAGATGGTGTCCGTCATGTTCCACACCTGATGGTACCAGCCACTTGGCACGAACACCGCCTCGTTGGCCGTTTGATTGATGGTAAAATAGCGCACCTCGTGCCGCTCCAGCAGTGCCTCGTCTATGCTGAATGGCAGATTTGCCAAAGCATCCGCCAGCTTGAGCTCCTCGCCAGGCGGCATTATGAGCCACTTTTTGTGCCCCACAATGTTGGTCGACCAGCTGAACGAGCCAAACACATCCGAGTGGAAGGAGGTCCTGAGGAGAAAGAAGGATTAATCAAGGAGTTGCTTTTGGGCAGCTGCCACTTACCAGGAGTCCTTGGGTCCCATGTACACAAAGCGATAATCGTCGCGCTTCTCTGCGATTAGCTGCTCGTTCAGCCAGTCGGAGGCAAAGTACTTGGGCACCTGATAGAACTCATATGCGGGCAGCTGTGCGGCCAGATGCCAGTCCTTGAGGTAGAGATTATCCTTGGCCACATTGCTGTTCTTCTCCTTCTCCTTTTCCAGCACAGTCCCATTCTCCACGCTGCGCTGCCAGCGCGCCAAAAAGTCGTGGAACTTCAGCTCCAGCTTGGCATGGCTATTGAAATACGTCGCATTGCAGTCGGCGACTGGCACAGCGAGATCGCCAATGCGGGTCCTGAGGTAGTCAAAATTAATGTGGCTGTGGGTTGGGGTATTCGCATTCCTGTTGTCCTTGTCCGTCTCCCCGGGCTGCGCCCAATTGCGGCACTCCCATGTGTTGGACACGTCTGTGATAATCACGGGCCAGTTGGCGTGCATGTAGCGCCAATAAAATTCGTTGTAGCTCAACTCTTTGGCGTGGCGCCGCTCGACAGCGCCATTATCCACATCAGATTGTGTTGGATTTTGTATGGGTTGCAGCGCCAGCAGCTCCGGCGCCGTCTTTTCTGACGCCATGTCAGAAAAAAACAAAACAAAAAAATGTAAACAAAATATTACTTGAGATGTAGGTGTGTGCTATAAGGTCATGCTCAAAAGTGGGCATAGCTTTACTCACCTTCAGTATGTTAAGCTGCATAACATTTTTTTTAAAACGCAATTAGTTAAGTAATAAAATATATGAATGTTACATTTTATACCAACTAGTCGGAGTCAGCTATAAAAATAAGTTAAGATTCTGATATCTATTCTTGTTAAAGAGGTTTCCAAATTACTAAAATGTTAAAATGCCAAATGTTATAGATATTTGAAATAAATAAATAAATCAATTGTTTAAAAACTGAAAACCTTTTCATTTTTGTTGCTATATAAAGTATAATGACATAAACATTATGTTAAATACATATGGATGAAATATATTTGGATATTTGAATACAGCTTTTTGTGACGTCAAAGGCATTCAGTTGTTGTCGGCTCTTCTCTCTAAAAAGTAACTGCGCAGTGCGCAACCCTACTGCTTAGTTATGGAGTCATGCGCAGTGAGGAGCAGTTCTGTTAACTCTATAATATTACTGTTAAGCTGTCTATTGACTTACTGTAGCTGTTCGTGTGGAGCAATAATGTTAACTGAAAATAACATACGCTCAACCGTTTAGCATGTGCACAACTCAAATCGGATTCACAAACCAACAAAGGTTTTTTAAAATGTAACTTTTAAATTAAAGAGCATTAATTTTATTTTACTGCATTCTGTTTTCGATTTATTGAAATTTATTTGCTAAACATTTTACCCATTATCAAGTTTTAACTACAATTTGGATTTTACATACAATATGTGTATTTTTTCTTATATGCAACAACTCAAAAATTGTCGCGCTTGAAGAGTTCAAATTTAAGGTTTTCGTTTTAATGTACTTATGTGTGGGTTTGTTTGTGTATAAGTTATATATATATATATATATATATATATGTAGGTATATATATGTATAAACTTTATAGATATTTTATGCTCACGCCTCATAGGCAACCATTTAGCCTAAGAACTAACGCTTGACTAACAACTTACTAAGATACAATTTAATTACATTTAATTTAATTTAATCCGCTAGAAAACTATATAGGTTTATAAATTATAGAAGTGTGTGGGTGTGACTGTAGGTAAAAATGCTATGTACAGGATACATACAAAATCGTATAAAATGCGTCATAAAAAATTGTAACAATAGCTTTTGGTTTGTTTAAATTTGCATAGAAAATGTACAATTATTGAATTCACTTTATTTAATTCATTATGTATATTTATTTACTTAGGACTACGCACATTTGACTAGATTTTCCTTTATTTATTTTGTAGTTTTAGAAGGTACAGAGATACTGACAGAGTTTTTCTTTCGTTTCAAATGTTTGTTATTGTATGTTTTTTTTATGTTATAGTCTGTTTGAAGGGGGTATGCGGGGTAAATAGATAGAATATCGTAATTGATATTGTTAAACCAAATTATATACAATTATATGCGTGGCATGCACTTGAAGCTAATGCCACGCCCACTTTGCTTACTGTCTAATTTAGTGTCTGGTACGCTATTTAATTGTTCAGTATTTATTTATACAACTGCTTAAAAAATTGAACTAATTATAGAATAAAGATTTAATTAACGCCCGGCTTAGATGCGCAAAGCTTTTGGTAATACTCATTAATTTCCTATATAGTATATATGCATATATTTATAATTATAATACTGTAGTATTTGATTTAAGTGTATGCTTTCCCACTTTTTCTTTAATATTTGCATTAACATTAATCTAGGAAATAATTTTAATTTTATATTTATTACATACTTGATATGTGGTTTTTCGTATAAA